ATCCCCATTAGTGTCCAAAGTAAGGAGATAATCTTGGTGAACATATTTAACGTTTCCTATAAAATGATGTTATCTCATCCGTGTTGCCATTCGTCTCCTGCCAAGCGAAACAGTCTTTCATAAGAGGGAGGAGGTCAAGGAAAATGAACATTGATCAGAGGTGCATGGTCATAGTAAGTGCATGGAGAATTTCCTTTGTGAGGGACTAGAAAGACTGAGTGGTTGGGGAGGAGGGTAGGAAGCCATAGATTGGCTTCTTCCTACGACCATGACGCCTTTGGCTGAGGGCCCAAACGTCTCCTACTTTTACTCCCAGACCTGATGTGTGTGGCACAGGCTAAAGCTTACTGTTTAGTAGGGGGCACCAAGCCAGCAGGGAATGCAAAGTCTGTTTGTTTGACTGATTGCTTAATTAACCAGTTTCCTCCTCCATCGCTCAAAAAATCTTTTGTTTTTAGAAACATTTTTAAATACATGCAATTCTTTCTTTTTCCTCAGACTTTTCTATTTTCCTCCTAATGTCTCCTTCTAAAATATCCAAATATGTTCATTTTTTCCTAAGGGATACCAAAACAATGAAATATTACATAAATTAAAATCTCCCCTAGTCTATTTACCATCACTGTCTCTAAACCTCAACATTTGTTTATTTATACACATGGATACATACCTGTATACACACATATGTACTAAATAAAATATATATATATATGTATATATATATATTCCTCTCCATCATCTTAAAATCCATGGAAATGTTAATTTAGTCAGATTCTTCCAGAACTTCTCTGGAACTATTTTGAAGCTCAGCCAATGCCTTCAAACTAGTTAACCCAAGGGCCCTCAGATCTCCAGGGTCATTCTGCAACCCTTGGTACCTTTGTTACTTCAGATTGGTGTCCTTGAACTTCTAAAGATACCCAACTAAGTTCCCTGAGATTTTAAGGCAAGGTGGTGGGTGTAGGATGGGCCACAGCCAGCCTACCTCTTTTAAAACACATTTCGAGTGTTCCCCCTGCCCCATGTATCACATGCTCTTCGTATGTTTTCTCCTTTAATCCTTGTAACAGCGCTGTGAGGTGGGCATTATTAGATCTTTTTATCTACAAAGAAGCTTCGGGAAGTTGTGCTAGTTTGATGAGAGACGATATTTCACATTTACAGGCGGACTACCCCTTACTGACCTGTCCTTTACACAGAGAGCCTAGGACTCATGAAGCACCTATAAAGCAAAAACAAGTTCTAATACTGTCTCTGAATCCTGCCTGGGTTCAATGGGAAAGAAAGAGAAAGTTGCATAATCCACGGGGGCGGAAATAAAGGGTTTTGGCTTTGTTTCATTTAGGCCAGACCTACCGCAAGCTGCAGTGGGGGAGGGTGTGTGTGCCCTTTCCAGTAACTTGCAGGTTCTTGGAGAAACTGGGTCTTGCCTCATTTGGTGAGAGGTATCTTGGTGTTGCAGCATCAGTAACAAAGACAGCAAGATGTCCTGTTGCCTCAGGCTGTCACAGAGAGGCCAGTTGGGTCTTCTTGTCTCTGGGGCCAGTTGGATGGAGTCTGGACTTTTCCTGAGAGTTGACAAGTACTCAGGTACTCAGCTACTGGGCACCAATAACTCCCCCTAAAATCCTTTAAAATATGTATATCTTTAAAAATCAATCATGCACTTACATATCAAACATGGTAGAGTCGTTTAAATTCATATCCTGCATTATAATCTAGTTGTATTGTCTTGCTTTATATTTATGGTCCACAGGCTTCAACTAAATTAGGAGACAAACTGGTGAGCAAAGAAAGCAATTTTTGTAGCCTTTGCAGGCTTCAGGTCCCCAAAAAGAATTGTCTTAGAGACCCCTAGCAAGAGGGAGATTAAAATAATGTCTCCAGAGTCAGGATATAAAATTCACCACCTTGTGTAGGATTTCCACCCATCTCCTTAGTGTACTACCACTGATCTTCTGCTAGACAAATTATTTAGAAAGATGATGGTCGCTCTGTTACACTAAATAGCCTTGTGGGAAAGAACAGAAGAAATGGGTTGTAGAAACACTAAATTAAGCATGTGGTGGGCCATTGGATGTTTCTCATTTGTATCCTTGGTAGCCACATAGCTGGTAAGCTGCCCTTTTATTGCGTTATATTGTTATATGATTTTAGTTCTTTTATATTGTCTTTATTTTGTTAGTCTGTTTTTAGCCTTATAGGATAAACATATTCAGTTGACCTGCATGGTAGCAGTAGGCACTTTATATTTGAACATTCTATTTAAGGTTGAAGCAGGGGAAAGAATTAGGGCAGAATTGATTGTTGAAGGGCCTTTTGCAATTCCCACTCTCCTATCACAGAACATCCTTCTTCCTCAGCTACCATTAACCTTTATTTAGAACACAGTAAATCATTGGACGCAAAATTTATGTTATAAACTAAAGTCTCCTGGTAAACAACTTGTCTTCTCACCAAATATCATTATGCAAAGTATAAATGCAGTGCCTTAGAACAATTTCACATTCTTATTGATGGTCTCCCACTGACCCAAAGAACTCTGTGGGTCTTATTGTGTAACGCATTGTGGTTACCCAGCTCAGCTTTGCAGAAACATGATTCACCAGTTTTTTGCTGAGGGTCAAATAAATAGATTAGATGATGGGTTTTATTGTTGCTGCTGCTTCCTTCCACTCCCCCCCCCAACCCG